GGGTGTGCTGCCGGCGCGTCCCCCCTTTTCTCTCCGCCACCCACCTCGGTGACACCCCCGCTACGATCGCGCAGGGCCTCCGGGGCTGCGGCATCTAAAGGCGGAGCTGATCGGTTCCTTCGGTTCCTCCTCAAACCCGCGCGTTCAGAACTGCGGTAACCGGCAGCGTTTTCTCTCCCAGGTCACCTCTGGCTCTTCCGGGACGCGGGGACGAACGACGGACTCCTGGTCAATCAGCAGGAGCTGTTTGTAGCGGCTCCCAACGTGAATAAAGCAGACATCACCCTGCCAGGTAACCAGAACAGGGCTGCGTGGAAACTGGTGAATGTTGTGCTTGATCTTTTTGTACTTCGGTGATCTAGTGAGAAATCACATACTTGAATAATCTACTTCAAAAATAGGAGGAGCTGGTGTGGGTTTCTAGCTAGAGCCAAGGTGGTGTGTCAAACAGAGCGATGGACATGCCTCTCGGTTGTAGATGTCTGGGTTCCGTAGGGAGCCTCATGACAAGAAATAAAGGGGTTTTTTCTCTTTCTAGCAAGCCTAGCGTGTTGTGGATGACGCTGTGGCGTGTCCTGTTCTGTATTGGTGGGTTGTCAGCAGCACTTAATGAGAGCCCTTGTGACGAGGTCATGTGTGTGTGTTTGTTTTCAACCTCAGTGTTCACCCTGAAGGAGAGATGTCTGCAGGTTGTTCGCAGTCTGGTCAAACCGATGGACTACAGAAAACTGGACATTGTTCGGTCGCTGTATGAAGAGCTGGAAGATCATCCTGATGTTAGGAAGGATCTTCAGCGGCTTTCTCTGGAGAGAAGTGAAACGCTGAAGAATGGAATTCTGGAATAACAGTTACTCACTTCAGACTTTAAACAGCAAACCACCGAGTTGCAGCAAGGATAGTCACTGCGAAACATGCCAAGGACTAACGTCTGTATTTTAAATTTTGAAACATAAACTCAGTCAAATTGTGCTAAACTTGCTGTGATGCTAAGTCAGACCCAAAAGACTAAATGGCGTGTAGAAGTGCACCAGGTTCCTGATGATTCAGTTCTGTTCTTCATTATGCATATTGCAAATTGATGACACTAGAGGCCTCGCACAGGTGATGCTCGGAGATGTGTTATTTGGACTGTATCTCAGAACACTGCGTAGGGACATAGATCAGGTCATCTCTTTGGATAATATGCATACAGATCAACTTTCTTTGTATTGGAAAGTAAATTACACCAAGGATTCATTTAATCCAGACTGTCATCATTATAAGTGGCGGACCAACACCAGTGTTTCTTGAATAGTTTGTTTTCAATGGAATTTAACTCTTTCACACTCAGCCCAGACTTGGCTGTGAATCACCAAGCATGGGGAGGTGTTTGTGTACACAAAGGTTTCCATCACCCACCTCCTGAGGGCCTGACCTGAAACATTATGTTGGTGAAAAGATGACATGTAAATGCTTGGGGGTTTTTCTGCCTCTTACCTTTATGTCATACCACCTTTGCAGCTGACATGTTTTTTACACAGATCATACCCCAAATGCCTTATTTATCCTTCATGGTTGGATTCTTGACTACTTGATCTCAAGGTGATCCAACCTAGGCCACCATATAGACTGGATCCTAGTTTTGGGGCACCTTCCTCCTCCACAGCTGCTTCCCCAATACAGGCATATCAGGTAGTGTTCCTAGAAGGTCAATGCTTCGAGTTGTACCTTTTCCTATCACAATGCAGTAGTTCAGGTCGTAGTGGGAGGCATTTTCAGGAGCATGGGCCACTCCAACTGCTTGTATCTCCTAAGGAACAGACTGCAGACTCCATCAGCTCCTACTGTCCTATTGCTAGGTCCAGCTCATAGACAGATCCACACTTTATTACAGGCTAAGCAAGCAGAGAAAACATTTCTTTACCTGTATTCTCTTCCCACTGTGCTTGAATTGAAAGTGCATTTGTGTGACTGTACACGTGTACTCCAGAGCAGCATAGTTTGTAGCAGGTACGTGAGTTGTCCAAGTAAAAGAAGTGGTGCTGTTCAATGTTGGAAGCAGGTTGATGGGAGATGATAGCAGTTATTTCTGTGGCATACGTTTCTTTCCAATTAAACATTCTAAGAAACACAGCTGTGAAACTGAGAATATCAACATATTCTGTAAGTATGAAATGTCTCCCCTGTTGTAGACTTGTTTTCTTACATATTGGAAGTGTATTAATTGATCTTTGTCATAAAAATGTAAATCTGTGTTAACGTTTTTTACACCAGTTCTGTCAAACACCTTCACTGTTCTTGTGACTGTGCTTGTGTTCCTGCAGTACCCCTGAAAGTCACTCTGCTTGGATCAGTAACAGATACTTTGGGATTGAGTTTACAAACCGGTCAGCCCCCTGTTGCTGCAGGACGGTGTCGTGGCTGATGCTGAACTGCTGTCACATCTTTGACAGTATCTGTCTGTCCATGAACAGTTTCTGCTCTTGCTGCCTTTAGCAGGTCTCTAGCAGAGGAAAGCAAGCCTGTGCAGGCCTCGAGAGCAGACATCAGAAGCCCCCCAGCTCCCAGGGAGCCCTTCAGTTCGAGGGTGCAGCGCTGTGCTCCGCAGGTGGGGTCCTGCAGGTACCCTGGAGGAGTTTCCCTCTTGCTGCCCCTGCAGTGCTGCACGTGATGATTAACCTGACAGCGTTGCCAGCCACTTCCAGAACACTGGCCTGCTTCACCCTGGAGTTTTAATGTAGTAGGTATTAGGTCTTAGGTTTAACATATCTGTACATACCATACACATTCTGAGTATTTCTGATTTATGTGGGATCTGCGATCTCTTCTGTTGCTTATTAGAATACTTCACATTTATTCCATGAGTCTGTGACTTCCAGTATCCAACCAGCCGTTGATACTTCCCTAGTACAGTTTGTCACTGCTAATGGATCGGATTCCTTGGATTCCTGTATGTTAGCAGACAGCAAAGCATACTTATGTATCCGTAGCTTGCCAGAACCAAGAACTACCTCATGATCTCACTGCTCACAGGAGTATCCTGTCTTTGCTTAACTTCTAGTTACATCTGCTGAATTCCAGGTCAACTTAATCCCTTGGCTAAAGAACAGTTCCTGATAGGCAACAATTAGTTGTGGATGCTTGGTCAATTTGCTGTGGTTCATCCTCATCAATTTGTGTTTTAAAAGTGAAACTTACTTAATTCTTTGGAAGAGTCAGTGCATTTACTCACAGAATCCCCAGCAGAAGGTGGCATTTCCCTGGATCCTTGAGGTATGTGAGTCGTAGGACGAATCTTACAAACCCTGCTTCAATTCTGTAGCATTTCCCTTCAGCACAGATGCTGCCCTGCACAGCAGGCCAGCTGCTCTCCATCCCCTCCTGAGGTGGCAAACACCTCATTTGAAGAACAGAAGCCAGGCAGGAACTTCTAGATTCCACATGAGGCAGCTATCTCTATGTTAGGCACTGTAGCATCTGATTTTTAGTACCAAAGTACATTATTTGGATCTGGCTTCACAACTTCATAATATCACTTCATTCTGCCAACAATAGCTGACTACTTGTTGCACAGCCACTAAGAGTAGGAAGTACCTTATTTTTAATATAATGATTGCCTCTTGCCTAATGTATAGCAAGTGACAATCCATGCTTGAAATCTAATACTTTCCCTAGACAAGATAACAAAGGAAATTCTACTTCCATGTTGCAGATGAAAACAAGTTTTCCAAAGTTATGCAAAAGTCTGGTAGAGGAAGGGACACCACCACTACAAAATCTGATGCAGAACCTGGTTCACGCAGCTGCCTCCCCTATTCCTCCCACAGCTGTCTTCTTGCAATGTAGATAACGTTTTCTTGTGATGTGAATTCTGTAACTACTTTGCTAATTTTAGCTCTCACATACCACCTAAGTGTTGATTTTCCTGTTGACAAAGAATCAAATACCTTTTTTTCCATATGTCAGGTTAAAAAACTCTTTCCTCTCTGAGAAGCACTTTAAAACATCTCTCACAGATAGCTGACAAGGGTTTGTTTTTACACCCCACAGAGTCACACCTGATACTTACTACATTTGGTTGTCTTGCCACAATCTGACAGTACTGCTGCAGGTCTTGCTGGTCTTGTCATTTTAACCTGCCTTGTCTTTTTAACCACCATGGCAGTGATTGAAAGCGTGCTAAACTGAGTTTAGTTGAGCTAGTCCTAAGAGCCCCATTATCAAATGCTCGCAAGACCCCACCATGGACTAGTTTGGTAATAACATCAGCCCAGCTGTGTATCTTAGGGTTTTTTACTTAGAGGCATTCTAGTATAAAACCAATTTGATTACATATTGTTTGTCACTGGAATGCAATAACTCATGATACTTCTGATATAATTTGTGTTTCATTCTGAAGCCAAACTCATGACTTGAATATTTATTCAAAGTGCAAGGCACTGGCAGATGTGAGGAAGTAATTGACATCAAAGCCCATTCAATTAGAATTGTTAAAGCAGGTGCATAAATGCTGTACTAGCAAGTTTGGGTCATTAAAGAACTCCTATTGATAATTTAAAAAAAAAAAAAGTAAACAAACCCAGATGTTATAGACAGGTAAACTTCTGGAGAAATGCTCAATATATGCAAGAAGGTATAATTCTCTTCTGGAGTGCTCCTTTGGGTCAGTATAATAAATAAATAAATAAACTAGAGAAAACCTCAGCTGGCTTTTAAGACATGAACATTGGAAAATGGAGCCTCCCACCAGTTACTCAGCTCGGTTAGTAATAAGTGAACGTTGTCGTGTATTTGTGACAACTACATTTGAAGATGTGGGTAGTTTTCAGCCGGAGTCACAGCGCCGTCCCACCTGACAGCCGTGGGAGCAGCAGGAAGTTGAGCAAGAGGTCGGGACTGGGCTGAAAATTCCAGCTCAACAAAACTGCTGAGTGCGGGGCCGTGGGAATGTGCTGCTGCAGGAAGTGCCCAGCCACAGCTGAAGGTGAAAAACTCCAGAGAAGTAACCAGTTATTCCGGCATTTGGTTGGTGTCCAAGGACTCAAGGAGGACACACAGCAGTACAGAGTCCTGCCTAATAGCTCATCATTTGAAAATTAAGGCAGAACAGCAGGAACAGGTTGTCTGAAAAAGTAAATTTCAGTTCCCTTGTAAAACCTTTTATTACATATAATTTTTAGGGCAAAACTGGACCCATACACAGTTAGATGCATTCTTTCCCCTTGTTTTCCCATGAAGCAAATAGTCCAAAAGGTGTCACAGTTTCTTCCCAGTACCCAAGGGAAAGAAGTGTCCTTTCTTCCTGCTTTTACCCAATTCTTTGCAACACAGATTTCAATCTCACATGACTTTCAGAGATGCTCTGGTCATCTTCCCACAACAGAGAATTTAGGTATGTGCCAGAGGGACAGTAAGCAGGGAAAAGGGAGGGGAAAAAGCCCATAAGTTTAACTATTATTATTGTTGAAATAGCACTACTGCTAAAACAGGGAGGTCCTAAGGAAATCTATGAATTGTGATATTTTAAATAATAACACACTTTGGATATTTTTCTATCTTTTGATCTTATAGCTACATTAATATCATATTTTTCAGCTTTTCCTTGCCACAGGGGGTTTAAGAAAGTCATTGTTACTTTAATGGTACTTGAAAGTCTCATGATTTTTGAGGCAAGAAATACAGAAAACTGCCAAAGTTTGAAAGTTTGACACTGAAAACAAGAGTGATCTGTATGGTAAAATACATGCAGATTATAAAGAACTCCTAAATTAAAAGCTCTCAAAATTTACAGTACTGTTTCCAATTAATACAAAAGACCTAGGGCTGAATATGAACAAAAAGAACAGAAAGAGGAATGGGTTACAATTACGTATTGCAAACTGTCCCACTGTGGCAGAGGTACAGCTGTAAGGCTCTCCGAGTAGGTCGTTCTGCCAGGAGTATTTGTAGCATGTACACTGGCAAATTAATTTATTATAAACTTTTATCAAAAGCATGTTAAGTACAAAAAAAGGGAAAAACTAAAAATTTAGAAAATTTTTTAAGAATGTATTTTAAACCTAATCCTTGACTAGCGAGACCTGGCCATATCACCACTTCTGATGTTTTTTCCTTCTCACTCCCTGCATCTGCTACCGCACTACATATTGTAATAAGTGAAATCCTGTGTGCTGCGACGATTGTAAAATCCTGGCAGCAGGGTCACTGCTCGGTATTCGCTGGCTGTGCTTTTTGCTGCCCTCTCTGTTGGTGTGTTTCTTCCTTAGATCTTGCGAGATCTTTGACACTTTCTCCATCTCCACTTGTACAGCGCCCAGTGCAGCCGGGAGCAGGGCTGGTGCAGCTCCTAGGGGCGCCTATGCTTAAATATACCCATATGGGCAAACCAAGCGCTAGCCGCCTGCCCTGGAGAGGTGGCCACAGCCTGTGCTGCCAGGCCGGTGGCTCTGCCGGGCCCCGCTCCCGGCCCGCGCACGCCTGGCCGCTCTGCCCCAGCAGTTGCACAGCCTGGCGGCAATACCAGCTGCGCGTAACACGCAGGAAGGCATCGTTCGCCTCCATCGCATGAAACTCGTAATTTGGCAACCCGGCTGGGGCAATGCGCGCTCATGGAAAGGAAAATCTGATTTGCATGTGGGGCCGGGGCATGACGTCAGCAGGAAGCAGCGGCGTGTGGTCTAACCCTGCCAAGAAACGCTCGCCTGTGTCACTCGGCTCTTCCCGCAGCGAGGAGCGAGTCGGGCCGGGGAGGGGGGGCAGGCTGTCGAGGCCGGCCCCTTTGAGAAGAGGAAGTTTTCTGGAGAAAATCCACTCGGCCACAGGCGGAGGGTGGTGAGCGCGCTGCCTGCTGCAGTGGCCGCTGCCCGCGGCGTGCGCCATGCGTAGCCGCTGCTGATGGCCGCGCCGGGGACCGAGGGCTCACCGGAGAGGGGCTGCGAAGCAATGACCCTGCAGCGGCCGCCCCTGGCCCCGAGAGGGGGCTGCCCCCCGGCGCTGTACATCCACAGCATGCCTGCCTGGGTGCTGGAGGACTTCTGCCAGAAGATGGACTGCCTGAGTGACTACGACTGGATGCGATTCGGTGAGAGCGGGCCGCGGCAGGGACACCTGGAGCGGGGCACGGCCGAGACGCCGCCATCCCCACGCAGGGCCTCTGGCCGAGCATGTCCTGTAGACAGGGAATTCCCATGCACCAGTCTGTTTTCGGGATCAAGTGAAATCTCCGATTAATGGGTGGAATTCCAGACTTCCGCGTTCCCTTGGCAGCCAGGCTCCCTCCCTTCGCTCTCCGTTATCTTTTACACTCCCCTCTCTGTTTGCGCTTTATCTTCTACACACTCGCCTGTTTTCACAGCATCCATCATATGTGCTTAGATGTTATTTTTATTCCTTGTTCCTTCACATATCTTCCTTCATACTTAACTGCCCCCATTTTTCTCAGGCTTGGCCATGTCCAGTTAGTAAGTACAGAAAACGTAGTCCCTGAGGTTTTTTAATTCTTTTTTCTGTATGCCAGTCCAAACAATTCTAACCTGAATCTTTTCTTAGCTGGCCTGTCTTCCTTTTTTTAACATGATTTTATTTCATTCAACTAACTCTGCCTGCTGAGTAAACTCTTACCCGTTAAACTTGCTGACTTAGGGTGGGACTCATCTCCGCTAACTTCAGCTTCATAAAACTGTGTCTAACGTCCTTCTAAAGCCAGACAGGGTGTGAGCTCGGGAAGCTTTGCTCACACACAGCCCCCCCAGCCCGTGAGCCCTTCTTCTTCCGTCTAAGCCAGCAGCACTGTGGCTGTAAGGCTCTCCAAGTAGATCATTTTGCCAGAAGTATTTGTAGTGTTTACACTGGCAAATTCATTAATAAATTTTTATCAAAAGCATGTTAAATAACAAAAGGGAAAAACTAAAAATTTAGAAGAACTGTTGACTTTAAGGACTTCAGGGACATAATTGTTGACTTTAAGGATTTCAGCGGGTACCTCCACCAAACCCCCAAGACCACAAATGAGCACAGCTGAACTTACACAGAATCCCAGGCCGGGGTGACAAGGTAACCGTGTGTCACAAACCACTGTTGCAGCACAGCTTGTCCTGCCTTCCCTCCCGTGAGCCCGTGCCCCAGGAGCCGGGGCTGCCACCTCCCGTCCCGCAGAGCGCAGCAGGCCGAGGGCTGCCCCGGGCAGGCGCTGTGGGGTGGGGAGCTGTGACATGCCCCCATCCCAAACGCGGGGCAGCGTCAGACACATGGGGTGTTGCAGGGTTCTCGCCCCTCGCCCTCCTCCAGCCCTTAGGCTGTGGCCGGGAGCGTCCAGCACGCGGTGGATTACGTGCTGGTGAGCCAGCCCCGAGGGGCAGAGGAGTGACCAGCGTGCGTGCGCATTCGGGAATCGGGACAGATGATGTAGGGTCAGCTGTGGCAGCGTGTCTCCTGCTCTCAGAAATGGCTGCTCTTCACCAACAGGTTTATCGGACTGTAAGTAACACCCAGATGATTCAGGTACTATTTGGCTTACCGTAATACTGGTATTTAGTGATACAGACAGGAGTGCAGTCTCACCACTGACTTCTGTTACCTGTTTTGGGAGAATCACACTAGGAACTTAATCTGAATTTACTTTGGTACAAAGTATTACAGTGAAGGAAGATTATGGGGAAAATAAGCTGAAAAGTGACTGGTTTCTCTTTTTGGGTCTCTGATATAACAACATTTTTTCCCAGAATAGTCAAAGGAATAAAAAGAATACTGTATTTTAGGAACTGAATTTTCTTCATGTCCACACAGCTAATCTATTGTGATCCTTCCTTTAAAAGTGTGCTAATGAAAAAGAAAAGTGTGTCTTGCACCTTAGCTTTCCCTGCTTGCGCTCACTTGGTTTTTCCGATTTTTAAACAGAAATATCTGTTGTCTCCCACCAGCCTCCTACGTGATAACTGATCAAACAGAGCTACGGAAGATCAAGTGTATGGAGAAGACAGGGATCAGCATAACAAGAGAGCTCATGTGGTGGTGGGGCGTGCGGCTGGCGACGGTGCAGCAGCTCCTGGACCTCCTGCATGGACTGCAGCTCTACCGGGCGGCTCAGGTCATTCTGGACTGTGAGTAGCTGCCCCTTCCTCCCACAGGGCATCTGTACTGCTTCTCAGAGCACCCAGACCCAATCCAGTGAACCTGTCTTGCTAGCCAAAGAAACTTTTTGCTAGGAATCTTATGCTCAAACTGTAAAATTTTTCCACTGATTCTGATTTTCTACTCTCTCAAATAAAATTTGTGATGGGAAAGGAAGAGGTGACATAGAGAAGGAATCACTGGTCTCTAGTTCATCATCCCGCCTCTGTAGCGGCCACCTTAGATGCTCTGAGAGGTGCCAAAGAGACTGGCTGTGCTCTGAACCAGGGCTGGTACTTTCATGTATCAGGCAGGATTTCAAAACAGAGCTTAATTATGAATGTTTTAATTTTTTCATACACTGTTGTTTCTCCATGAAATTTTGTCCTTATACTCTAATTGTCAAAAAACCCACAGAGTAGAAAAACATATAATCAGTTTTGCCCATGTAGCCTGCTTTCCTGCACCGTAAGAGAGGTTATGAAAAGGAGAAATGGTTTATGGACTACCTACATTACTATTTATTTATCACACTTCATATTTCCTCTGTTTCTCTCATATGTTGTCCAAATTAATCAGCTGTAGTCTTTTCTAATTCTTTGCATGTAGTTCTTCTCATGTATCTCCAGTTTGCTCTATTTCAGATTTATCTTTTTGAAGGTAGGATGATTAGTGTTTGAACTCAAGTGTGGCTAGTTAAGGTAAACCACTGCCTTATAGAAATCACAACGCTTGTAAATATAATTTTCCTTTCCACTTTTCTCCATTGAAAATTAAATGTCTCAATTGCAGCTGTCCATTTTTGTAAGCCAAATTGTACCTTATTCTGGTTCTACCGCCAAATCTGTTGAACCCCAGACAATACACTGTCTTTCTGCCAAAAAAAGGAGTGGGCATTCATTCATTCATTCATTCATTCATTCATTCATTCCCCTTTTCACACATATTCCCACCCAAAATCTACTTTCTGGAAATGAGAGGTTTGTGTGAATTTTGCCAGTTGTCCATAGAGAATTATTAAGAAGAAAAATTACAGGTTTTTGTTATGTGGCCAAAAATGCTTAGAGAAGTACTATCCAGGTGCATGTGGGAAACACTCAGAGCTCATGAGGGCGTACACCTCCCCAGGTGGAAGATGTGCGGGAGTACCATCTGCTTTTCACATCCCTTGAGAGGGAAACTGCCAGCGGCAGGGGTGGGTTTGGGTTCCACCCAGCGGCTGTTGCGACAGAGCAGGCTCCCTCCGCAGCCAGAGGTGGCATCCGCTGCCCAGCAGCAGTTCTCGGGGAAAGTCCAGCCATGCATCACGGGGTTCTTGCCACTTTTGTGCAGCACTGCTGTTCTTCAGTAGTTCCCTGGCACCGGCGTGACTTTTAACCTTCATTTTGGTATGGCAGAAAAAAAAAATCTTTTAACAATAGTATTCTAAATTCTATTATCTTTTTAAAAAAAAAATAAAAATAAGTACTACAGCACAAGCAGCCTTAGAGCAAATTCTGACTTGGTACATCAAACACAATCACCACAGACCCTAATGAGAACGTTGCTCGGCTAATATAACTGATTTTGGCATCACTCACATGCAGCCTTTTGATTCAGCAGATGAACTTTCTGACTGAATTCAGTCACAGCATTCCACTTAGGAGACCAGAACGATTCCTACTCCTCATTCCTCAGCAAAGCAAACAAAGCTACAGGAAAGCAAACTTAAATCTGTTTTAATTTGTATATCGGTAATCCAGTTGTTCATTTAATCACAGTGATTGTGACTTTGAAGGTCCAGTCTGAGTGGACAGGATTGAAAACAAAATCATGATTTATTTTTATTTTTTAAATCGCTACATTGAGTAAGTCTGATCTCGATATCAGTAGTGCAAGTAAGCCTAGCTCCCTGATAATTGTATTTTTATACTCTGGAGTAGAGGGTGACTTCCATGATGGGATGACACTTTTGCTCTGTGCCTGTTCGGTATTTTAACACAGTTGATTCCTACTCCATAAGGAGAGTTTCTGGGTGCTCTTACACAATGCGGTATAACCTACCACACCTTAAACTCTAATTAATTACAGTCCTTGCCTTCTTTCCCTGTCAGAGCGCGTTCTGGGGCCTGCCTCTGTTTATGGCTGCCTTATTTGGGTGTCTTCCTTTACAGAGTTCATTGACTTTTCTGTAATCCTGCTTTATACATTGTGATTTAATAAAAATACTCCTGCATTCTCCTTCTGAGAAACATTAAAACTGATACTGAAAAATTTGAAAAATAATAGCAGCAACAATTTTCAACATAATTTTTATCTGTCGTGGAAAAGGCTGGTTTTGTTCAGTTAGGAATGAGGCCTTTTCCTTCTCACAAGGGTTAATTTTGCCATTTTTGCAAAAGCTGAGTTCAGAGACCTTCAAAAAATTACTTGTTCTAACAACTGAGATGATGCTGCTTTTACTCCAAGGTAGAGGGTTTTCTCTTCCAGGCCTTTAAAACAAGACCATGAGCAGATTTCAAACTGAGATTAGTTCAGCACATTGCAGTGATGATGGCTCCAAGAGAAGCTTCATGTTTCACAGAGCTGCCTAGAGGATCTCTCATCATTAGACCTGGTCCTGTGTGCAAAGGCCAGAACACGGGACTGGATCAAATCCTGAGAGGCAGCATCTTAAAGCCTCTGGCAAGATTGCTTACACAAGGACCAAGTGAGATTTCTCTCTCTGATATGTACAATGCAAAGAATCAGGCTTCCAAGCCAGGAGCAGCTTCCAGCAACATTGTCATTAAAAGTAAAGATATGACACAGACAAAAATAATCATCATCACTGCACCAAAACATTCATTATCCTTCTGTTTGACTGACTGGTTGGTTTTAAGCGGTGTGTAAATACCACTGTAGCTTGTGCAATACACACTCAACTGCAGCCTCTGGTTCAAATGGGGATTACCTGCTTTCTCTTGTGCTTCAGTGATTTACCTTTTTTTGGTTTTTTGAGCTTTCTCAGAAACATTTCCGAGACTTTTTGAACTTCACTTGCCACAAGCTGCAAGAACTGAGGGTTTTCCCCCTGTTAATGCAAATCAACTTCCTCCAGGCTGCAGTACACTGTGATTTCTAAGGAAAAGCTTGGTTTCTAAAAATTGTAGTTGGCTGATGCAAGTATACAGGAATCATTGTAATGATTTCTGTGGGCTAGATAGTAAATTGGAAAAGTAAATATTAAGAGATCATGGCAAGAAATGGACATACTCAATTCAGCTCATTAAGATACAGAACTGATGTCATAGGTCTAACATACCTTTGTGTCTCTGGTTTCCTGTGTGACAGTGGTGAGCAACAATCTTGGGCTGTTCTGTGAAGGGCTTCATAAGGAGTTAGAAATTATTTTGGTTCTGACTCTTGACTCTGTAAAGCGATATGAAGGCTAGATAAAGAGGGCTTAAAAGAGATGGAAGACACAAATCATGTGGGGTGATCAATTATCAGTTATGTTTCTGGATGATGAGTGTTCTTTTTTGTCCAGATCAATTCAAAGGCAATAAATTGCAAAACTACAATTAAATGATCATTTAAAAAACCTACTTATAGTTGTCTTTTATATTGAAGTCCATAGCAAAACCTCCTATTCATTTAAGTGGCAGAAAGTCTGGATTATTTTTTTGCTCTGTCATGTGGAAGTAGTTAATTTTTTCTGGAATAAACTCAATATGTGCATTCCACTGTGTGCACAGTCATAAGCAGAAGTGATTTCTAGCAGGATATTTTTAGGTTTAGATTCTTAACCCTCTATTTCTGCTTTTTTATCTATATCTGAATATGCTTACTCAGGTGATTCCCCTTGAGCAGATATGGAAAATACATTGCTTATTCTGTTGGGCAATTTAGAAAACTAAGTGGTCCTTACATCACGGTAATTTTATTCATTCTGACTTAAAGCAATCAGACACAACACACAGGCAGATGTTTTGTTGGCAGATTACTTCCAGGAGAGTTCTACCTCTCTTAAACAATTTCTTCCTTACTCTAGTCCCACTTCTGAATGTCCATAATAATAATTTTTTTCTTATGCCAGTTCTTTTGCTTCAGTGGTGACCTGCCTGATGTGCAGGAAGTTGCAAAATTCATGAAAAACCCTGAAAAATAAGTTGAAAGAGGGAAGTGAATCTAATTTGAGAGACTTCTAGGTTAAAGTACAGGAGTGAAAAGCCAACAACTGCAAAATACAGGGACTGTCAGTTTTGAGTAAAGGCCTGCAGGCTGTTCAATAGCTAATTTCAAAAACCCGTAAAACTGAGGATTTCACGCGTTCTGACACAGTAGTAAAGAACCATACCTGATTTTTCCGAGTTTTAATTTTAAGACCTAGTTTCATTCTAACCTGCATTCATAGGTGACATTGAAGAAAGTGGATACACACCCTAGAGGTCAAAGGAAAAAAACCTGCGTGACGTGAACATGCCCACTTCTACCATTACTGCTTTTCATGAACTCCTACTCTTCAGGACGCTCAGTACGCTGAAACTGTCCCCGCTTGTCTTCTCTTACACAGTTGTACTGAATCTTGGTTTGTTGCATGTAGCACAGATTATAAATGGAACATACCACTTCCTGCTTGTGTCAGATGCTGCCCAGCTTGCTCTGTACAAAACAAAGAACACAAAGCTATTATCTGATTTCAGATGCAAACTGAGGCCTGTGGCTTTTGATCCCAAGGCCACCACCATGCTTAAGATACAAAACTGAAAAAAACATGACAAAAACCCCCTGTATTAATACTTGTGCTTATGTTCTTTTAGATAAAAACAAAACATTCACTGTGATTTTTAAGAAAATGCTAAATGTGTTGCTGATAAAAGGTGCCAGGTAAAGAAAAGTTTAGAACTACAACCAGGAAAATATTGTTAACAGGCAGTAGGAAGTCCTTACATCACTCTAGTGCACACAGGGCATTTCTAAGCTCCTTTTCAACATTAATTTTAAATGTATTTGTGCTTAAGAATTCAGCTGTTTCTTTAGCCTTTGACAAGTGTTTTGTAACAGTATCTTGATTTTTTTAATGTTATGTTTTCTCCATCCTAACTGTATCCTAATTTAATTTTAATAATTCCCTCTAAGATGTACATATTTTTCAAGTCCCTTTATGCTAAAAGCATGTTTGTACTTCTTTTAACCAGACTTCAAGCTGCTTTTCAGGCGTGATTCTGAGATTTTGCCAAGCTGTATAAAATACAGGATTATTTAGAGCTGTAGTGATTCAATAATTTGGCCTTTAATTTTTCCTTATATATCAGTAGGTCTTGACCTTTGACCATGTTTGTCTTTTCCCTAGATTGTTTCCAGTTTGTTTTTTTCTGTTCATAAGTAGTAATATGATCCTTTATTGCAAATAGTTCTATATAGGAAAGTGTTTTCTGGGAATGGACATGGTCGTTACACTAAAACCACACAATTGAAAATAGTCCTAAAATATTTAACTGACTAAAACAAATACAATTCTGTCAAACTTCCCATCAGTCTTGTGACAATTAACAAAGAACTAGATGCCTTCTTTAGGCTGGGAGATATTTGTGATATAAGATCATTGGCTGAAGGATGCTACATAGAAAATGTCAAAATAAATATACTATTATGGCTAATTTCATAATGTAAGAGACTATCTTTTGCACAGTCATCACTGGTATGAGTTTGAAGCTATCACTTCTTATTAATTTTCAGTAGTAGATGTCATGAAGATGGTTTGAATTTAAATACCAATAGTATTCCAGTAATTTAACAATAAATTGCTTGAATGTTCATTTTGATATTCATGTTAATTTACAGTCTGTTTTCCTGATTAGGATTATTTTCTGATAATTTATTAGAGTCAGATTCTATTTTTCCTGGTAATCTTCTTTTCTTTGTTCTCTTTTGAAGGGACATCAGCCTCTAATATTGCCACCTCTGAAAAAGAATTGCTGGTAGAGCCACCTAAACAGGAGAATGTATCTTTAACTCCGACAGAAAACAAAAAGAGAGAGAGAGAAAAGGAGATAAGTCTGTTGCCATCACCGGACTCTTCACATCTGGGAGTACCACCAGCAGGCAGTAAGTAAAGCAATAGATTCTGAATTTGCTCTAATGTGAAATGACCATACAGACAAGACTGCTTCCCATGCACTCTCAGTACAGTGTAATGGATAAATTCTTCTTCAAAATGGTCACATCTGAATATTTGCCTTTCTCCTAGCACTGTTGTCTCCTGAGCTGTTTATTCCTAACTTTAGCACACAGCCTCCTGTTCCTCCTTCCTACAGCTCTCTTGGCCTGGAGAGATACTGGCAATGTCTATCCTGCGGGATCTCCAGATGCTTCCCAGGGCTCTGTGGACACCCCGGTCCTGGCTCCATACTCAGACTAGATCAGTGCATACATTTCCTGCCCCTTGTGCCTCTCTCCATGCACAATAAATCTGGGCTGTAGGAGATCCATGCACGGGTCAGCAGGCCCCTCTGCCTGGGGAAGGGAGGGACCAGCACCGCAGGACACACTGAGGAGAGCAGTGGCTGATGGCACGGACATAGGGAGCTCTATGTTCCCGCGCCAGGACAGAAACCTGCGTAGTCATCTTGCGAAGGGCAACCAGGAAATAGCTCACTATCTTCATAGAGTATTCCACATCTTGAGGGCTTGTCACAGGTTATCCCTGGTTAGGAAATTCAACAAAATACTCTAGACCTTCATAATTAGTCCCAGGCTGCAGTATTATAAATATAAGGTATATTTTCAATGCTGTTATTTCAGTTTCAGGTGCTGTTTCAGAAGGAGCCTTGTACTCACTGCCTTTTCCACCACCTCCCCCTAGAGACCTTCTGAAATCCTTACAGTCAAATCCTTCTGTCTCATCAAGTGTGAAGGTAATCTCACTGATTATAACAATGACAATCATCTTTATGACATTCTGTGTTTTTTCAGTTAAAGTTTATCCCTCTACTTGTATAAAATACAGATCTAGTGAAAAAGTTTGGGCCGAATATAATACTAATGCTTTCATTAGATTACTCACAGTTTACATCACTTTTTTTAGCCAGCAAAGGACCAGTGAGAGAAAAAATTAACAATATTGCTTAATGCATAGCTCAGCATGGGTAACATCCCCACAAATAGCAAATAGGACTTAACATTTCTAGTGTGATCATAGGACAGTGCAATATATACCACTGGCCAGTCAGAATGGCGTACTTGTTTTAGTTTAATTTTATATGTAAAATGTGGTTTCAGCTCAAAACTGGACTAGTATCAAATTTAAGTCAGGTTGCCCAGAGCCTTGTGTAGCTGACAATTGAAAATCTCCAGGGATGGAGGTTCTGTCACCTCTCTGAGCCCCCATTCCAGTGCTTAACCATCTCACCGTGAAAAGTTCTTCTCATGTTCCTAACGATTTCAGCACCCAGTCTCCAGTTCCTTCCTCCCTGTAGCAATCTTGTCTTTAAGACAGTCTAGCTAGACCTGTCCTGTGGGTTCCCAGGCTGTTTACCAGATCAGTGTGCACACTCTGATCCCATCATGGTTCTGCCTTGGCCTGTTTTCTTTGGCTTATTTTGTTCAAGGATTTTAAAGAAGATTGTGTTTCAAGAGTACCAGCCAGAAGAGAAGATGGTTACAAAGAATGCAGCAGTTTCAGAATTTCTTGAGAGGGAGTTAATGTTTTGTTTTCTCAAGTCTGGAGCACCCTAACGTTGTGAAAGCTGTGTGATTAGGCTACAGTGGAACTGTAGTAACACTTGGCATTAGGACTTGCCACACTGGAAGCAAGGAATTATTGTGCAACTGAGGCCTGGTGCTCCAGAAGTAGCTGTGAAGTTCCTACCAGAACATAAATACATTATGAGGGACCCTGCTTTCTCTTGTTAACTGTTTCTTCATATATGCCCCAGGCATAAAAATTAATATTTTTTGTAACTTAAACTAACATCACTTCAGATAAAAAATATATGGACTTTTAAACAAAACTGTTTTCTGGGAAAGGTGGAAATGCAAATTGGTAACTGTTTTCAAGTCGTTTCTACTATGCAAAATTTTTACATCAGCGAAGAACATCAAGAGAGGTGTTACAAAGGGAAACCCTAATGGGGGATTGCACAGTGCCTTCCATGGTTTCTTTCAGTAGTCACAGTGATTGCTTAAATCATGGAAAAAAAAAATATAATACCCGAGAGAAGGAAAAAGCATATGAATTTTCATGAGATAAACTTGTTTCTTCTACAAATGTGTAGCCTTGCAGCTCTTCTACTCCTCAGCAGGAGACAATGACTGACCTCCCCAGCGGGAGCCTTTTGTGGACCCAGAGGGAAGTTACCAATGCCACTGACGGTTTCAGTGACAAAAGCAGAATCTGTGAAGGTATTTTTGCGGATGTCTACAAAGGTCAGAGAAACAACATAGTGTATGTCATCAAAAGACTGAAAGAGGCAAGTACTTCACATTTTCTTTTCTTTCGAAGGGGGAATGTTATTAGTATCTCTAGAACATTAGGAGTTCTTGTTTAATATTGTATGGGCAGGGAAACAGAATGACTACACGTGAGGAGAGGTAAACAGGAAATAACGTAAAGTAAATCTAGATTCAGCAAACACATATGAGACTGTCCTCAGGTGGGTGGTTTCATTGACACTGTCCATGGGAGTAGCCTGCAGTCTAGCTACCTGCATCGATGACTGGATCAGAGGTGTCTTTACACTGTTTCTAGTTCTAGTTTCCAATTAATTGCTGCTTTTGACACAAAGTTGCCATCAGCAATACTTGCCTATTTTCTAAAGTATACTTATGTAGTATCACCTAGAGACTAAAAGATCTGTACAAATGCAACACCTTCACAATTACTACTGACATTCTGTTGCGTGTTTTCATCTTTCAGACAGAATGCACAAACCCAAATTCCACCCAAAGATTCTTTCATACAGAAGTACAGATTTGCTTTCGGTAAGCAGTGGCTTTCAAATGCAGTCTGTGAGCATCCTGCACGTGGCCCGTTGCCTGTGTGTTTAGTTTGGGACTGATGTGTCCATCTCCCAGGCACTGTGCTGTTCTGGGGACACTGGGTTTAGGCACAGCTGGCGTGGGTGCCCTGGGGAGCAGCGTGCCTCCTGGCGATGCCGTGAGTCCCCACTGAGCAAACTTCTGGAGCTCTGTATCCCTCCTTGCTGCTTCCCACTGGGCTGCACTGTAACGGTCTCTCCTTGCTGCTAGGTCAGTCAGCCTTCTGCCATCCTGCTCAGGGCCATTCCATGCTTCCAGCTGCAGGACACAATTCCCAGCTGCCTTCAATTTAGGAATTTATTTCAGTTCAGGAATGTATTTTTCTGGGTTGCTCTTATTTTATTTGCAAATCATTGCTGATCTGTGCCTGCAGGTGTTGTCACATCAACATTTTGCAGCTGCTGGGTTTCTCAGTAGAAACTGGAATGCACTGTCTGATATATCCATACCTGCCTAATGGATCACTACAAAACAAACTTCAGTGTCAAGTAAGCAAATAATCTGCATCTGTTATCAGATCTGTGGTTACAAGTCCTGTCCTGTTATTGTGTAAAAAGCAGTCGCATTGCTTTGAATTATGAAAAACAGGCAAAAAAAAAAAGTGCCCAAATATCTTGACTGCAAGTACTGCAGATGCAGTAGTACTGGAAGGCTGCAGCTCTTCTCCAGTTCTACTGCAAAGCAAATCAGGTCAACAGGAAGTTTCTGCTGTGCAGCCTTTAGATTTTTTAAGGTAATAAAGAATCTGCATTGCACGGTGGAAAACACCATTTTTTTCCTCACTTCCTTGCAGGATGATCCTGCTCCACTGACCTGGGAGATGCGAATTAGCATTTCTATAGGACTCATCCGAGCTGTACAGTATTTACATAATTTTGGAATTCTTCATGGCAATATCAAAAGGTGAGGAGTTTGGCATATCAACACTCCTTTGTCACCTGTTAATTCCAGGATTTCTTTAACAATAACAGCTGAAAGCTCATGAAATTTTGAAAACCATTTGCAGTATCTTTCTGCTGTCTCTTGTTCTGTAGGATGTTTACCATTTTACATTTAATCCATCTCTCTTTGCTAAATGATGGCACTATATTCTTTTGAAGTAATTTTTGGAGTGATTTTTCTTCCCCCTCCCCCTTTCTACCATTCTTTATCCTTTCATTCATACACGGCAGGCCAAATGCTGGAAACTTTAAAAGCGTAAAACTGTAATTCATTACCACGAGTTAAAGTAATTACTTGATCAGTGTTGTTATTTGTCTGTCTTTATCACAGCTCAAATGTCTTGTTGGATGAAAACTTTACACCAAAGCTTGGACATTCAGGTCTACGATTATGTTCTGGTGATAAAAAATCAGAATATGCTGTCATGAAAACCAAAGTCCTACAAGCTTCCCTTACTTATCTGCCAGAGGATTTTATCAGACATGGGCAGTTAACAGAAAAAGTTGATATATTCAGCTGTGGTGTGGTACGTTGCCTTTTTCCTATGTTCTGTTGCATTCTTTGGTGCTTCTAGACAGGAAATTGCATATAAGAGCATGTGCCTCATAGAGTGGTTTTGCCAGCAATTTCATGTCATAGTTGCTGACTATATTGTGTGTTGAAATCCTGGGTTTAATTACGTTCGCACTCCAAATATATTTCAGTTGGTGGGAGAGTGAGGTGAATCTTTTGAACAACAGAAACAAAATTGTTTCTTACGGGAAAAAAAATATTACTGCTGATCATTTAAAAAAAAAGAATAGCAGAAACACTACAATTAGGTTCTCAAAGTTCTTGAAGATTTACCCCATGAAGTGCTACAAATATTATTTGTTAATTTGGAATTTCAACTAAAACAACTGATTGTCTGTGATGTCACCTGTCTCCAGGTGTTTCCATTTAAATAGGAAATCACTCTATTTTATCTATATTGAGAATTACTTTATTCTCATCCGTTGTTTCAACAATATTTATTGTATCTAACTATAAAATGTGGACTTGGCTCTGGAGGTAGATCTATAGTGTCATGAAGATTGCCCAGATCTGGCACTGTTACGCTATCTGAAGTAAAAACCTAATTTCAAAGTGCCCTGGCAGTTTAACATTTCTTTATTTAAAAAACTTAATTTTTAAAAATAGAATTAATGCTGAACAAATTGTTTTATCTTTCAAATACACTTTCTAGGTCTTAGCAGAGATACTGACAGGGATTAAGGCACTGGATGAAGGAAGACACCCCATTTATCTGGTAAGAAAAAGCAGGGATAATGAATACCAACACGAGTGAATGGGGTTACTATCATAAAATGACTTGTCATTTTATATAAATACAGTTTGTTATTTGTAGTCTACTGTACACACCCTGAAGAAGGGGTGATTAGAAGCCATATCCTGGTTCTATTACCACCAGTAGCCTACTGCCTTTAGACAGAAGCAGAATCTACATCCCCATTTCACATACCACACTCAGGAGTGCTGGCCCAATTATATTAGGAGATACTCCAGAATAATTGGTGTTTAAATATATGCTGATTTATAATAGAAGGCTTTGTGCTGAAATGCTGCTACATGTTTTTTATGTGTCAGAAAGAGGTGTTATGAGCCAAACTGAACGGGGAAACCTGGATAGGCAGTAACTGCAGCTGCTCATCATCATGTTTATCAGGCATTTATGTATTGCACTGGTGTCTGAAATTTATATCCTGGCCAATTTGCCCAAGCTGTGATTAGAACTACACAAAGGTTTTTCAGAAGCAACCAGAACTGGCCAGGCTCATTAACACCATCTCCATGAAAACTGACTCCACCTGTATTCCTTCTATGGGATATGCCCCTGATTTGCCACCTTGTTAAAGCCTTTGCGGGGAAAGTGATAGTATTCCTACTTACTATTTCCAAGCAATTCAGCAATATTTAAATGGATTCAAAAAATAAAGGATCATAGGTTTCTGATTAACAAATGTTTGAAAATCCCTGTGCAGGAATGCTGCTGTGTACAGTGTTAATTGTTTTTCATTCATATAAATAGGCCTGAGCCTAGAAGAGCTGGGTCTGCTGTAGTGAACTTGGCATTAGACACATGCAGAGAAAACCTTTGGCCTTTTCTCTCCTGTGAAAACAAACATTTCTGTCACTTGCACGAATGGACATTCTTAAAGCTTTGCGGTCTGTAAACCAGCCATTAAGGAGCAATAATAACAAATCTGTGACAGGACTCATATTCTCAGTGATTCAGATAGAAATAAATGTTTGTGCTAATTTTGCCTTTATTAACATATCTTTTTCCTTTGAACAGAAAGATATGATTTCTGATGAAATACAAATAGCAAAAGAAAGTTCACACTCCAAAGTAAAAAACTTTGAAAAGGTAGCTGCCAAGGAAATATGCTGTAAGTATCTAGACAGGAAGGCTGGACACTTGCTGGAAGAGGTTGCTGTTGATTTTGCCTCGGCCATCTGCCTTTGTCTGAGAAAGAAGAATTCTAACATAGCAGAGGTAATATTTTAAATACATGACCAAGATTCTAGTCTTCTTGACAGCAAGGTCTAAAGCTACAACATTCATGCCTTACTTATTTTTGAGTGTTGGCGTAGGAGAATATGTGTAAACAGGGACATGGGAATTATTTTGCATTCAGAGATTTTGTTGTTAAAAACAGGTGCTTGAAATTATGGAAATGGCTGGAAAAAAATTAAAAGAGCATTACATCTGTGGAGGCAGCACTTCTGGATTCTCCATGAACACTCCAGAAGAAACTGATGATGAGACCACTAGTCTCAGCGTGGACATGCCTTCTGCCGGGGAGACGAAGGAGGCCGGCGCGCAGCCAGCGGTCCCGACGGGTGCCAGCCCACACACACCTTTGACAGGAGCTGCCTCGCCTGACATCTACTGCGGACATGTGTCGAGGGTCCCTTGTGAATCAGATGAATCCAGTAGTTTTATATGGAATCCTTCAGAAAAATCTGAAGATGAGCTATCTAGCAACAGCTGTAACAATTCAGAAAACATGGCAGCCTCTGATTACAGCATCAAGCAGGAACAACCTGCAAATGGACTCCAGGAAAGAAATGCAGTGTGCAGCAAAAGTGATGGCGTCTTGGAAGCAGCGTCTACTGCACAGAGCACCTTTCAGGAAAAAACTGCAGACCTTGAGTCTTCATGTTCTTCACAAGGTAAACCTAGATAAATCTGAAGGGTGCATGCTGAATGTGCAAACACAGATGATCTTCAAGCTGTTTTGGCAAAACTGCCCGTGCTCCTGCTGTGATAACCAGTCTTTGTAAAAGTGCTCTAGTGTTCTGATAGTAGAGACAAATTATTTTCTTCTCCAGAACTGCTTAGGTCCTTCTTCCTACTTCTAAACACAATTCAATCAATCTTTTCTTCTTGGATATGATTTTACTAATAAATCTACAAAATGTTCTCAGGTTTTCTATCAGATTTTTTCCTAAGCCAGTTTTGGGGTTGGTTTTTAAATTTAAAATTAGTGTTTATTCCTTAGACAATAGATGCTTTTTTTTCTCAGTATTTGTGCTTTTTTGTTTTTCAGCATCAGCCAGAGAGACATCTTGGAAAATAAATATAAATGATCAAAAAAAGAAGCTCATGGAAAAAATTTTGCTCTATGAAGAAGACCAGTTAAACAGCTCTGAACTCTTTGAATCATAAATGGCTTTACTAGCAGTGGCCAGCTCAGAAGAAATAAGGACTGTCTCTTCATTAAAGATGGTAAAAGTGTACCTTTCATGTAAGGTTAAGTAGCAGATTTGGATCAGAAGCATTAGTCCTGACTGAAGAAAACAAAAGTGATTAGCCTGAGAAGAAACAGGATATCTGTTCTAAAGCAGATGAAAGCAGAATGCTACTCTGTAAACAGAAATGCCTTACCCCTTTTCATCTGCAATGTGAAAAGATATGGCAAACACAGACAATTGCCAGAATAATTTATGATCCTTTTGCAGTGTATTTCAGAAAGCATCTACAATTAATATATGTCTTATTAAAAAAACACAGTTACAGGGCAAGCACTGATCAGCAATTAGTTAGCAGTATCCTTCATTGTTATCCCCCTGTGCACAAGCAGGCAGCTACCTTCAGGGAAAGTGGAGTAGGTTTCAGTTTTCAAAGGAATCTCTCCTATTCCATACAATCTTAGTCCACGTTCTCAAAAACACTGCATTACCACAGAGGGGAATTTTTATGCAAGTTCTCGGATGTATTGTACATAACTCATTCTCAATTTGAACTGCACTGAGCAGAGTTGTCAGTAAAGAATTTAAGCCGTGTTAGTCTACTCTATGAGCTGCTCTACTACATATATACAGAGGACACCATTTGAAGTCTGACCTTTAAGCTTCACTTCAGGAGCTCTGAGACAGTGTTTAATACTTCATAAGAGTATTTTTGGAAATTATTTTTTTCTTAGTGTCCTTTACATGTTGTTAAGGTTTCTCATTGTGTTTCACATGGTAACTGTTGTATATTTTCGATTAGGGACAAGATTTTAATTTAATATATCTTTTAATTTTGTTATAGGTGACTTGAAATGTGATTTGTTATATTTATTTAGCAATGGGTTAAAGAATCTGAAAGATGAGCTAGTAAGTGGACCTGTTTGTGGTGCCACACACTTGCCACATGTTCTCAGAGAGGAATCGTTTTGTGTCTCTTGGCTTACCCAGCGTTAGCAACCTTGGGGTCACCCTTGGTGATCACGCTTAAACAAAAACCAGTAGGAACTGGTGTGCTGTCATATTTATTATCAAGTGAAAGTGCCCTTAAGAAAGTGCCACTTTTATTGGTACGGCTATTTATTATTTGTAATAGTGTTAGCATATTCCACTCTTGGGCAGTCTGAGGAAATACTGGTTTGTTGCAAACAAAAAGAATATTGGAACACGCAACTCAGCTTTTGGACAGGTGACTGCTGCCTCCTGAGCATAGGTAATAGGGCCTGACAAACAGAAATGGCTAAAATTCATGATGGAGTTCAGGGAATACTTTTTAAAATCTGACTTTATATGTAATTCTTTTCATTGAAATTGTTAATAATATAGTTCTCCTAGCTCTACACAAAGGTCTCTGAGTAAGGCCTCACATCTGTATTTGTACAGTACCTAGTTCATTGTAGGTACTGTTACAAGCAAGTAAAAGTATTATAACTAAAGACCTGAGTATTAGAATCATCTACACATTCATCAGATTGATTTCTACACTAAAACTTTCTAAAGTTCCTTAATTATAAGTGCCTTGGATACTGTCTATATATTTGCCAGTGTCCGTTTTTTTTATTTTATCAGAATCAAACCAAAAAAGCATTGGTACTGACATAAGAAACATTGAATATGTTCAGATTGGTCAATAACTACTTAATTCTGTGTAAGATTTAATTAAGAAACATCATGGTGCTGGAAATCTAATATTCGTTGGTTTTCATGGATATATTTTTGGAGGTCCATGGTATATACTTGGGTCTCCCCCAGGAAGAAATGCACAGCCACACCCCAGAGCTGAATGGAAAACCTAAGTTTTTTAAAATGAGAAACGTAATTTAGACGCAGTTCTGTTTCACAAAAATGCTTTAAAGGTTTTGTTTTCCTGTAGTCACAAAATGAAATTGTTATTCTTGGCCATGTTCCATGTTAGTTTCAAAATATTCTGAAGTGATATACATGGTCCTGTAGCGTTATGTGAGTATATAATGTAACATGATACTGCGGAGTCTTACAATACTCAGGTACATAACTTTGCTAGTCAGTATAATGTGTGTTTTAATCTCAATTTGGCATTTTATACATTACTATTTACTAATACCTTTGTGAATAAAAAAAAAAATGGAAAAAATCCTTTCTTTATAGCCTGCTTTTCCATCATTTATGGCACAGAAAAATGTGTCTCAATCACCCTATTCAGGTAAATTTGTGTTTATAGGGAAGAAGCTCAAGGTCTCTTTCATAACCTAATCGTTAGTAATTATCAGTACAAACAAGTTTATTCAGTATTCATTCACTGCTAAATAGCTGATTTTTTTTCCTTTGAGGTGTCCCTTGAGAATTTCATCTAAAATCAATACTTACAAGGATCACTGAGATACCACAGACTTCTATTGTTGTTTAGATGCACAACCTATAGTATCCTTTATCCTTAAAATATTGTAGCTTTCCAAAAATTAAGGACAACTCTGCTTTTTTTTTTTTTTTTATCCATGAACTCTAGAATAAGGGCACAGAATGTAATTCCTTTTTTTAAATATAGTTGTTATAGAAATGTGCAAGTAATACTGATTTGGAGATTAGCACCTCCCAAAGGGGCTGTTAAAACCTAGAGGCTGAACATCATCTTATACTGTTGATTAATAGTAAGACTTATCAATTCATTGACACATTCTATTTTTTTTCTCGTATGTTTAATTTTAATAATATGAATAAATACAAACATGGAAGCATCATGTCTAGCAGCAAAACCAGGAAGGCATTTCAAGATGTGGAGTGTGAAGAAAGCTGCATTGCCATTTTCCAGGTTACTATTTGTTAGGTTACAAACTAGCGAATTTTTCTGTAACCATTGACTGTATCTTATGTATCCTTTGAAGTAGAACTTTTTTTAATTTAAAAAATGAAATGCCCATGCTGTGAAATACACAGCTTCCAATACTTGCTAAGGTTTGGGGGGGTTTCCAGGCAACAGTAAAGATGCATTTCTTAAGGTTTGATGAATTGTATTTCTTGATGCTATTTCTTAGACAGTTGCTGTTTGTTAAAGTAAATGGTAAATTTCCCTAAACTGAAAGACTAGACTACAACTTCAAGCATTCCAGTAGAGGGAGTGTACAAGGACAATCCAGTGATCCATGACATCGATTTATACACATTATCATTAAGTAGAATCTTTTTGTGTTTACAACTCGAACCTGCAGTTGAAAGAATCAAATAATTATTTCAAGATATGATTGCTACAGGAGAAAAATTATCATTCAGAGAAAACAACTACAGTATTTTCTATGCAATTCTGTTGACTCTTTAGAAAACCTTAAGGTATTCATAGTGTTTTTCTTAGGTATTTGCCCAGGAGTAAGTAACCCTGCTCCCCAGCTGGGCGAGGGGCTCATCAGACAGGGAAAAGGAGCTGCTGAGCCCCACAGAAAAATCGGTGTTTGCATTTGTGGGAAGATGCGTTTGACAGGCTGGGAAAGGAGAAAGCAAGTAGAAGACAAAGAGGCACGGCTGCGTGCGCGTCAGTAAAACAGTTCTCAGCGATGACATGCTCGTGGCCGTAGGCCACCCTGCACACAATCCAACGTGTGTTTCGAATGTCGCGTGCTGTTCTGCACAACTGATGCCCTTCTCAGCTGTAGTAACTCCCACCGTACAGCCCGTGGGGCTTTTGCAGCGTCCCCAAGTGATACAAACATCTTTATCTCTCTTGTTGCGTCCTTTAATTACTTAAAGCCTGTCCCGCTGAGCGGAGCGTGCTACAAAAGCCCTCCGGCGAGCCCAGATCCTTCCCCAAGCGCCTCCTCTGCGCTTCCCGCCCCGCGGCAGAGGCTGGCGCCCGGGCTCCCCAGCGTGCTTCTGCCCGCCCCTCGGCCGGGGACCCAGGGCTGAGAGGAGCGCACGGCGGAGCTCTCTTCCCGCCCTCCCCGGGGCGCCCGGCACAGCCAATCGACATCAGCGGCGGCCGGGGACCGTCCAATCAGCGCCAGGAAGGGCTGCCCCTCCAAGGTCCCGCCTTCGGGGCGGGGCACCCTTCCCGGGGTGCCCCTCACAGCCAATCGACGCGAGCAGCGGCTGAGGGCAGTCCAATCGGCGCCAGGACTAGCCCCAAGGTCCCGCCTTCGGGGGCGGGGCTGTGTCCTGAGGGGCAGCCTCCGCGCTCGCCCTGAGGTGCCGTGGGCCGGGCT